GGACTATTGACAGCCGTGGCCTCACTGGGCGGCAGCTGCTCCAAACACGTGCTTTGGACAATTTCACAAATTCTGGTATTTTTTAGAGCTGAAATTCATTAGCATTGTTGTAAGAATCTATAAGTACAGTGAAAGGCATTTACAAATAGGCTTTGTAAAAGGCTTCCACACCCACAGTCTGAACACTGTCAAAACACCAGCTGCAGCTTCCCTACTTGGAAGGATCAGACCTTTTTTAAAACTACACCTACTGTTTTTTTCAAAATAGGCTTGCTTCTGGCCCTGTATAGAAGGTAATTTCAGCTGAAAGCCTGTGTCTGGCTCTTGGCATGAGGGGTCAGGGCTCAGTAGGGAAGGGGGATCCTAATCTCCTTCCTACTAGAATGTGGCTGGCACTTGGGAATCCGGGGAGAGGTTAATCAGGGATGGTACTGCCTGTTTCTTCAGGGTGGGCCCTCATGACCTGGGCCTCACAGTCGAGGATTTGTAACTGTACACACGCCCCAGGTGAGTTCCAAGTGTGGTCACAGGCGATCACGTGGGCACCTGTGGTTGGGGAGATTCTTAAAGGAGAGCCCGTAGCAAGGGGCAGGCAATCTCACCTTTGACCTGGATGATACTATTGTGGAGAAAGGAGAAAGAGCAGAAGCTGCGTGAACTGTACAGTCTCTAGTATTAAAGTGAACTTTTAAAGGAAGGAAAAATTTACCTGTAGTCTTATTTTAGAGACAACTATTAACATTTTGGACTGTTTCTTTTCCATCTTTTTCCTATGTATGGTTTGGTTTGTTTCATTGGTTTTGCATAGGTATGATCATACTGAATGTCATAAAACTTTGTTGGGAAAAAATGTATTTATTGTACAAATACGTAATACATTCCCATTTCACACAAAAAGCAAATGTTTATTAATTCCACCAGTGGTTTTGAGCCCCTGCCATGTACCAGGTGCTGAACTGGATGCTAGAAATTACCTGTCAGACTTCCCCGGGAATAACCACTAAATGTTCTTCCAGTCTTTAAAACAAATTCCTCTTGCTAGTACAGTGGCACCTTGGTACTCCATTCCGGAACTCATGGTGAGTGCCGAAACTGATGACTACTGAATGATGAAGCATTTTCTCTTGTGGGGCATCATGATTTTTACAAGTTCTGGCAAGTGCCAAGTGCTGAAACATTTTTTGCTTCTCAAAATATGACGAGTACAGGGTTTGACAAAGTCTGAAGCTGATGAGTACCAAGGTATGACTGTATATCAGAAGTGTGCATGGGTGTATGTGCACTGAGGCACAAGTCATTTTAAACTTGCCTTTGTTCTCTGACATCATAAAACATCATAAGAATTTGTCCTGTTGTCATAAACTGTTTATGAATATTATATCACTGGCTATAGAAAAGCCTGCCAAATACCATAGGTTATTCTACTTTCCCCCTATTTATGAAAGACTCCAGTTCTTTTCACTTTTTCTGTATTGCATATCACACTGTGATAAACATACTGACCTGCAAAACCCATTTGGGTATTTTAGGCTATTTCTTTAGCATATACTCCCAGAACTGGTCCAAAGCAGATGAACATTTCAAATGCTATTGATACACATCCTATTCTTTAAAGTTATTTCTTTTTACCCTACACTGTTCCCCAAAGGCTTTCAGGTAAATTGAAAAAATAAGTAGTTGAGAGCGACAATAAAGGGGAAGTAAAGGTAAAAAATTAGTATAGCCCAAGGTAAGATGAGCCCAGTGCAGATAGGCAGGTGCCCCTTGGAGATATTGGAGGTTCGGTTCCCGACCACAGCAGTAAGCGAGTCACACACATTTTTTGGTTTCCCAGTGCACATAAAAGTTAGGTTTACACTCTACTGTGGTCTTTTAAGTGTGCAATAGCATTATGTCTACAAAAACAATGTATATATCTTAATTTAAAAATACTTTAGTCCTGGCAGTTGTGGCTCTGTTGGCTGGAGTATTGTCCAGTAAACTGAAAGGTCTCAGGGTCTCAGGTTTAATTCCTGCAGGTCAGGGCACATACCCAGGTTGTGCGTTTGGTCCCCGGTTGGAGCATGCGCAGGTGGTAATCAGTCAATGTTTCCCTCTCTCTCCCTCTCTCTCTCTCTCTCTCTCTCTCTCTCTCTCTCTCTCTCTCTCTCTCTCTCTCCCCTCCCTTTTTCTCTCTTCCCCTCTCTCCCTCCCTCCGGCCCCCTCATTCCCTCCCTTCCTCCCTGCCTCCATCCCTTCCTCTCTCTATGGAATCAATAAATATATCCTCAGGTAGCAATTAAAAAAATACTTTATTGCTAAAAAAAGCTAACCATCATCTGAGCCTGTTGGAAAGATGGCGCCAATGTAGGTAATGCAGGGTTGCCGCAAACCTTCAGTTTGTGGGAGGAAAATAAAGCGGTATTTGTGAAGCACAATAAAAAGCAGAACACCAGCAGAATAAAACGAGGTATGCCTGTAATGTATAATAATCTTCTTCTCTACAGTCTCTCAAGATAGGCTCACATTTGACTAGAAGCTTCTAGCTGTCCAATCAAGGAGGGAAATGGCAGCTCCATGATTCACAGTTACCAAAATGGACAAATAGCCCACATATTCTGAAGCAGCCAGTTTGTTCCGCAATATGGGTGCTTAACTGCTGTGCAAAGCTCCTTCTCCCCACCAACAGCCCCGCTGATTCCCCCCCCAGCTGCCCACTGTGGTATCACCTCAGACCATCTTCCCCTTTGGCCAAAAGAAAAAAAAAAGCAGCCCAGTGAAATGAACTGAACTTTCATTGCATGAGTGACTTGTCTCCCTGGATAGAACATGTATTCTTATAACTTGTCGGTCCTTGCTGTGTTCTGGAACGGACAGACCCGCCTGGCTATGAGCAGAACTTCAGTTCAGTCAGTCATTCTGGAGGGGGCAGCACCAAAGCATTTGGGCTCCACACATACCAAGCAATAATATTAAGCGCCCTGTAGACTTTTATAAAAATGAAAAAGATTTCCTGCTAATAACATTTCATTTCTAAAACATTTAATTTCTGAAAGTCACATTCAAATGCATAGATGTTTTGAATAAAGGGTTTGAAATAAATTTCCTCAATCCCACCATTCCTGTTGGCTCGGCGTCTCTCCGAGGGAGTGTGCACCGTGGGGCCTGAGCTTTGGTAGCCCGGGGGTGGAGAGGGAATCTGCTACGGAATCCTGGCCTAGGAGGTGCCCCTGCACTTTATGGGGTTGGGGTGAGGCAGGAAATACAGCCTCTACTGTGAGGTTCAAGCCGGTTCCCCTTTCCAAGTACAGTAGTTCACGTATTCCTCCAACTTTGATTTCAGGAAAACTCTGAAAAGTCCACCAAGTCTCCTAAGGCTCACACAGACAGTCTTCAAGCTGTATTTTTTTCTCTTAGTGGGGGCCAAACTATTTGGCTCAGCCATGGTTCCCCGGGGTTCTCACCTCTGGTCATCTCACCCTCGTGTTGAGGGTGCTTGAGATTATTCTTGATGTTAAGAGTCAGTTTTGTCGGTCTGGGAACTGACGGGCTTACTTTCTGTAAGTGTTCTCCACCATCGCCGGATATGCATGTCACACCGAATGCTACCACCACCACCCCTCTTGAGTGAAGAAACCCAGGCATTGGCCCTGTCAACTCTCTCCCATACCTCCAGGTTATAAGTCCCCTGCGTCAGTTTCCCTCCGTCTCCCATTACCTCCAGGACAAACTGACCGCTGTGGAACTCAGCCCAGCATTCAGACCTTTCTCCTCTCACTTCCCTCTGGGGACCTCAGGCTTTAGCCCTGGGACCCCTGGCCACTCTGGGTCCTTGCTCAATCATGTGTCTTACTGATATGTCCCCTCTGCTTTTTCCTCCAAAGCCCAACTGTAATGCCACCTCCTCCATGTGCCCTGCACTGCCATACATAGCCCCCGCACTGACCCGTTCCTCCCTATAGGACTGTGATGTGCCTGCACCTTGTACAGCCTGTCCCATGTGGACTGGTTGTCTGCCTGTCTCTCTGTCCCATTTAGACCACAAGCCTCTCCGGAGTAGCCACCACCTGGCTTGGCCATCTCAGTACCCCCAACTTCTGCGCATTGTGTGGTTTGGCCTCCTGCCATGGTGACTGCCAGAAGCCATGAGATGGACTATTTCTGTTGCTTTCTGGGAACAACTGCTTGACTTTGCCCTCTCATTTTATAGGCAATGTTTTTTTTCTCCCGCCTATTTCACTGCCATCACAGACCTTGGATAATCTCGTTTGGGACTCACCTCCCTTCTCCACTCAAAGGGGCCCAAAGGGCTGCGTTTTTGGAGGAATTTGGAGGAACCTTCTGCTTGTGCATCAGTGGGCTGTTTCTCTCATCATCTTGGAGGCTCATTCCTGTCCCCAAGGGCTGCTCCTCACCCAAATACATAGGGAAGTTGCGCGTGTCCTGATGGGCATGGGGGCACCCACCCAAGAGCTGTCTAATTTTACAGGGCTATGCCCCGGCGCCAGCTTTCAGGCTGCCAGATCTCAACTCGACACCTTGTGCCTGTCAACAGCCTGGCTGATGCCTCAGCTCCAGGCCAGAAAACCTTTTTCTCAAGGTTAAAAGTAGTTGACCTTTGACAAGCAGCATTGGCTACATTCCTTGTTCCTTAAAAGGGAAGCTCCCAGTTACTGTTTGCTGCTGCTTATTTGGCCATGAGGCGGGAGCAGGGCCTACGTTGTACCCTGTGTACCAGCAGGAGAGTTTGTGGCTAAAGGTGCATTGCTGAACAGTCGTTATTAAAATAGCCATCTCTGAAAATGTGTGCTGGAGAGGGGGGCATCCAGTCTGTCGGCTGCTTTGCACCAAGGCCCCCTGTGGCTGGAGAACCCATTGGCTCCTGCTGGCTTCTTCACAGGCGACAGTGCCACCTGCCCTACACACAGCACACTCCTTAACTTGTGTGCAACAAGAAAGCTAAGAAAATGACAAGGACATGCACCAATTACTAAATGCCTGGACTTGTGTTTTTAATATAGGGGTGACGGTCCAAAGATTGACTTGGTGGGCAGTTCGCTGTCTGGCATCCTGGACAAGGATCTCTCGGACCGCAGCAATGACATCGGTGAGTAGGAGAACATGTTTGCTTCTCTTTGCACAGTTTTGCAGGAACTGCAGAGGTCAGTTTTCCCCTTCAAGAAACCAGATGAGAACTGACACAGCCGTTTAACTGCAAGGCTGACAGCCCTGCTTGTTTTTAGGTGTTGCAGTTTTATAAACCAGGGAAGCAGTGGTGGTCCCCACATTACAACACAGTGCCTGGGACGTTTACTCTCCCTGGCCTAAGACATTCCTTGCAAGGTCCAATGAAAAGAAATGATGAATAAACCTTTTTGTAAAAGTGGGCATTAGCACTTATATTTATATTTCCCAGTGATTTATGTTTTTGGTGTAACGAGGTGAATGGGTGAAAATGCAGAATGGCAAAGTTCATTGTAAACCCAGTGCCTAAGTGTTTTGACTTTGAATTTAAAATGAGCTTTGATGTAATAATTGCTACTTAGTTCAGAACATGAGTGAATTTTCCCAAGGTCAAGATACCACCATGTGGTAAATGGGAAGGTAGCTAAAGCGTCTGTGAGTAAAAAAGTTGGAGGGTCTTTCGAGGATATGCATGGGTGGCTTTGAGGTCACATGCATGCTGGTTGAGACCACTGTCTTGTCTCACTGGGGTGACAGCCCTTTTAAGAAGACAGCCCTTTTAAGGACGTTTTTTTTTTTTTTAGCTGTACAGCTTTTATTTGTACCTATCACAATCATAAGTTAGCACTCTCTTACAGTCTACATTAAGAGAGAAGGCTACATTTTGGAATTTGCCTCTTTTAAATCAAAATTTTCATTTTGGAATAAGTAGAGAGATTTCACACATCGTTGTAAGAAATAATGCTGAGAGATCCACAGACCCTGGATCTGGCTTCTACCACTGGTAGCATCTTATGAAACTGCACTGCAAGATCACAACCAGGATACTGACGCTGATACAGTCCAGCAGGTGCCCCACTTTTACAAGTACTGTACTTGTGTGTGTTTAGTCCTACGTAATTTTGTCACATGTGTAGGTTTGTGTATCCACCGCCACAGGCAAGATACAGAACATTCCATCACCACCAGGATCCCTCTGTTGCCTTTTATAACCACACCCACCTCCCGCCTGCCCCCTCCTCTTCCCTAACCTCTGGCAACCACTATCAGGGATTGATGGGACATGGAATATTTCTAGCATCCTTTGCTTTGGCTGCTCAATTTAGAAACAAATGTCTGACAGTTGGCAGGTCTTGTAAGAGGCACCAGAGTGCCTAACATGAGCATTCTCGTCACCTGGGGTTACTCCCCTGCTGAGGTGTCTGTTTTCTTCTGAACCTGCTAATACAGTTGCCTCTTTGCAACTGCTGACCTGCAGTCTCTGACCTGATCTTGTGAAGGCCTTAGGGCTAGGATATGTCATTGTGACCATAAACACCAAAAGCGCTGGTCTTATTTCCCGAAACTGTTCTGTGTCCTCAGTCAGCTTTTGAGAAGCCCAGTCAGGAAGTATGACCAAGGGCTTCTGACAGCTTGGGCTGACACAATAATAATAGAAATGCTGGGCTACTGTAGCATTTGACCTGGTTAAAGGGCAGGCCAGAGCAGAGCAGTGAATGAGAAGGAATCATCAGAATGAAGCTGATTAAGTTCTGGTTCTACCATTGCAGTTTAACATTCAGACCCCATTTCTAGGAAGGGTGGCTGGTGGGGAAAGTGCTGCTGAACGTAATGTGTGTGGGCCTCTCACAAGAAGGAAGGTGTTCTCCCCTCTCCAGAATACACAGAGCTATGCCTGGCTTTTGAAGAACATTAGCCTTAGACTTTTTTTCCCCTTTGGGTCTGCGGATGACTATGGTAGATACTGCCAATATATGAAGTTCATGTGTTTTTCACTCTGATAAGCTAGTTTCGAAATGTTGGAGGCATTGATGGAGGGGGGGTTAGTCTACAGAAGCTTTTCATACCGTGGAAACTAAGCACCAGCTGTATGTATGTGAGAGCCCACAAAGAGATGCTGAGGTTTACTTTGCTCTCATTTTGAAAAGAAGGCATTAATGCCAGAAAACTATAATTCCTCAGGCTAATAATATAATATGTATGTTATTTGCATTGTGAGAAACAAATGATTGGCAGTTATGAGATCAACCACTACACACTTGAGTACCTACTACTCAAGTGCAAAGCTGAATGGCTACCAAGGCCCTTATTTATACACAGGCCTTGCCTTCCAGGGTCTTTGGGTCTCTTTGTGCCCCTAAGACAGTAAATGAAAAGTGAAGTAACACTGAAAGTCTGTCTAAAGGATGACTGAGTGGTAGAAAGTAATGCTGCTCAGAATCGGAGATGCTTCTCGGCACCTAGGGTGTGAGGACAGGCTCTGTGAAGCGGGACAGACTTACCTGAATCTGGAACTTGGATTTGTGTAGGTAGAGGCAGAGACGGGCAGGGAAGTCACCTGAGCACTGCTGATACCGAGCATAGATCAGCCCAGCTGCCATAGAGGGTTTGTGCTGGTGCCGAGGGGCAGGAGGGAGGAGGCTGCAAACGGAAGTTGGGACTGGACTGAGTTTGAGAGGGATGGGTTTGTAACTGATTCTGTGGGCGGTGGGAGCCGGGGAATGTTGACACTGAAGTGACATGATCAGGTCTGAAAATTCAGATATCCCTGGTGGAGTTTTGTGGGACAAATGAAGTGAAGGAAAGATGAGTGTCAGGAGTCAGGTTATTTGATAGTTCCAGTGAGAGGAAGTGAGAGAGAGCCAGAATTAAACTGCTCACACAAGGGTTGTGTAAGAAGGGATAGATGCGGAAGCAGTAATGCGAGAGCATTATGGCTAGGCCTTAGTAACAGATTGGATTTGGGAGTGGGGAGGCGGAGAGAATGATTTGTTAGCTGTGAGGTTTTAGGGTTGGGTACCTGGGGGAAAAATGACCTTGGTTTGAAATAAGCGTGTCTGGAGGAAGAATTGGTTTGGGGGGAAATGTGATGAACTCATTTAAGCATGTTGACTTTGACCTTTGGTCAAACACCCCTTGTCAGTGCTGGATGAAGCCTAAAGGTGGGAGGCTGAGGCCAGGGAGGCTGGTGGGGACAGCAGGTAGAGATTAGGACCTTCCGTGACACAAGAATGCAGAGTTGGCGTCTGCGCACCTGGGTTGGAGCGCTGCGGATTCTGCTGCTTCCTGGCTGAGTGACCTTCCATAATCTATAGAGACTCTGTAAAGAATACTAAATCTCTGCCAACTTCCTCATCTTGTCTTCCAAAATTATATAAAGTTACTTAGTGGGCTGTAAAAAGATAAAGATGCTTATTTCTAATGTTGTTTACGTAGACATGATAAAATGTCAACAAGGAAAATGAAATCCTTACCACGAGAACAAAGAACCTAGAGCTGAGGATCACATTCCACCGAAAGTCCACATGTAAGGGAAAAGGGGGATCTTGCAGCATCACAGGGGCCAAGGGAAGAGAGGGTTTTAAGCAAAATGTCTTTAGGCCCAAATGCAGAAATGCTCTCAAGGAGAATAGGAGAATTGCAGAGGGGCTGGCTCTCTTGAAGCCTGCTTTTGTATCTCTGCTTTTGTGGCATGTGTTTATTGCTTTGAATCAAGAGGGAAATTATTTGTACCAGAATGTTTTTTTTTAGTGCTTCAGACGATCAAAGCTGTCCAAATGTGGGCTGCGGTAAATAGCAGAACAGAGTCCTGAAAGCCATTAGCAACGATCAGTGTTAGCTATAAATAAATGTGTTTCCTCTTAATAAGGCTATAATTTTAAATTATTATGATATTAAATTAGAGAACATGTCTTTTTTCAGATCTCGTGTGGGCAGCTATCAGCATCTGTCAGCCCTCGATAATTTAGAATGAAATCAGTTGATCCCAAACTAAGTTGTTGATGTCAGCTTGAGATATTGTTTGTATCAAACTATGCTGCCATATTTCAAGAAACATAATAGAAAAAAACATGGATGAGCTCCAGCACAGGCCTGCGCATTAATAGAAGTGAAAATTAAATTGTCCAGTTTTCTCTTGCTGACAGAAGACTCTTGTGTTCCGATTGAATGGGAGATTATAGGCCTCGAAGTCAAGTGCCATAACATTTACTTTTATTATGCCATATATTGTAGTTCCCACAGCATAGCGGGATTTGTTATACTTCAATGCAACAGAGATTTCCCGTTTCTTTCCCACTAAAGCACATGGCAGTGGGCCTCAAGGTGGGGAGCAGCCTAGGAACTAAGCCATCTAGTTTCAACTAATTGACTTAGAAAAAGCCTTTCTCCTTCCTCTTCAGTTGTTTGCCTTCTTTGTTTTAACTGTTGTTTTTTCTTCCCCATCAAAGTGTTGCCACTTCCTTCTTTACATGGACACCACCCCCTCTTTACTTGAGGAAGCTGAGGATTTTCCCTCCATCTTCCCTGCCCCCTGCCCCCACAGACCTTCACTTCACGTGATACTCAGTTTGGGGCCAAGTGTCACTAGCTTTAAAGTCAGTGGACTTAGGATGTGGACGTGGTTTGAAAGCTATGAAGACGAACTTCAACTTGTCCTCGGTCTATCACGCCTCTAGGCCTATTCATTTGGACCAGGAAATACAAAAGCATTTCCCCACACCCTGAGAATGCTATTAAGAGCTGATCGATTTGGGGTGCTGGAAAGGTTCTAAAACCGGATGGTGACTGGTTTTACTAAAAGTGACTAAGCTGTATTCTTAAAGTGGGTGAAGTTTATGGCATATAAATTATATCCCAATAAAGCTGTTAAAATGGGAAAAAGGAGCTAGTTGAAATTCTCTTAGCACTCACTTTGAGGTCTTAATGTCAAAAAAGATACATATACACAACCAATTTATAAGTATGGGGTTAGAAGTGCCCCTTTGCCTCCCTTTATAAAATAGTTGTGTTTATTTAGGCAAATAGCCGTGATATTGGTGTTTCCGAGTTGTCTATAAACCAGTCTTTTATAAATAGCATTATGTTTTAGACGTGTTAGGGAAGCTGTCTAAAAGCTTGTGGAGGAATCCTTTTGTAATGCAA